CCAAGTGTAATACTGGCTCAGACTTCACCTGGGTTAACAAGGTCTGCACTCATGAGTTAGGTAGAGGCTTAAATTGAAAAAAATTGTCACAGTTTCCCTTGGCCAGCAGTGGTGAAAGCAGCACTGGTCCAAGTATGGCTACTGCAATGCCCACACCAGTTTTGGGAAACAAGCCTAATTTTGATGTTTCTAAGGCAATTCTGCCAAGCCACTAAGGCAAGTAAACTATGCCAATGGGTGAAATAGACATCAGAAATGAACAAGTTTATCATCCATACTTCACCATCAGAAAACTTGAAACGGACATGACAGCATACAGACAACAGTTATATCACTTGTTTTCACAACATTATCCTCATCTCACAGTCACTATACAAAGGGTTATTTATCAAAAAGAACAGTTATACATAAAAACCTTATAACACAAACAACACTAGAACAGATCAAACAAATTGCAGAACAATTACACAAACAAGCAAATACTCCCAACATCAACAGCAATCACATTATCTAAAGAGGAGAGCAAAGACTTGCAGGACACACTATGCATTGTGTTGAAATAAATACACAAGACATCCCATCCATTGCACAATGCAGAAAGCACTCAACTGGACAACACCTGGTGTACATTCACAATTTCTGTACAAAAAAAATTCACATCTCTGCACCAAGAACTGGGTAAATATTTAACTGATATCATCAACAGTCCACAAGACATGCCAAATTTTCTCATGCAGGACATCACTACATGAAACCAAAAAACAATAACACCAAAGACCCTGCATAGTACAGATCAATTACATGTCTTCCAACACTTTACAAGATTCTTATCTCTTGCATTGCAAACAAAATATATCAATACATTCATATTGATGAACATAACATTCTTACAGAACAACAAAAAGGCTGCTGTAGAAATCACAAAGGTTGCAAAGAAAACTACTCATTGACTCTGTTATCTTATGAAAAATTCATAAGCAACACAGGAACATACATTGATTACAGAAAAACATTCGACAGTGTCCAACACACTTGGCTGCTGCACACACTTTGCATCTACAAAATTCATCCCCAACTTAGTTTCCTTTGTTTTATCATGCCTCACTGGAGAACAACATTACATCTTAACCTCCATAACACTCACATAAAAACAAATCAAATATACATTAAGCAATGAATTTTTCAAGGAGATTCCTTGAGTTGTCTTTGGTTCTGTCTTGCACTTAACCCTTTATCTAACACATTGAACAAAACACAATATGGCTACAATATCAGACACAACAGAACAACACTGTTCACATTATCACACCTCATATACATGGACAATATTAAACTTTATGCATCCATACAGAATCAGCTGCATCATCTCTCACAAACTACACACACATACTCAAATGATATGTAAATGGAGTTTGGTCTAGACCAAATTCCCATCTCGAGGCCTGCATTAATATTTTTTGTGGCCCACGCTGTATAAAATATGAATAAATATATAAATTTTCCAGCTTAAGGAAGTATGCAGCAAAAATTCAAACGTTATTTTTTACAACTTATGCATGTGAATAGTTTTTACCGCAATGAATTTAGTAAAAATTAAAACAAGAAACTGGCTAACAGACTCACATCAGAATAATTTAAAACTATCAGTGACTAATATGTAACCAAATATTATGTTTACAGCAGCTTTTAGAAGCTAAATTAAGTATATCTATGTTAATTATACATGAATAAATAATTGAGATTTACCAGAATTTTTTTTCTCTTGTATGCAGCCTGCATCAGTTTAAAAGTTTTGTAATGCGGCCCTTACATAGAGGAAGGTTGCCCGTCCCTGGTCTAGACAAATGCAAAACACTGAAAGAGCCGAAAAAAAGCAGACTGTATTCAGAAATGGAGATATTATCAAATCCATGGCACAGGGCAAGTTTTACAAATATTTAGGATCCCAATAGGCGAAAGTTACAGGACATATACAGATAAAACAAAGATTAACACTCAAATACCAGAACAGATTACATACCTTTCAATGTTTATTACAATCAACTTAATATTGTCAGTATATTCAAGAATTTTTGAGTGCTGATTATTTAAAATAGAATTAATGTAGATGATGAAATAACCATATTTTATTCTGATGTTGTATTCTACAAAATGGAGAAAAACTAGAAAGTTAAAACCACCTATTTAAATTTTAACAGATGTAATTAAAAAATAATTCTTCTAATTATCACTTTTGGATAGCTGTTATTATGTTTTATGTATGTATGTCTCTAATCCGACATTAAGTTCGGTGGAATATCATTACAGCTTTCAGGTTAGACACTTCTTTTATTGTTTCCACATATGCATTTTGGACTTATATACAGTAAATGTTAAGTCCCTCTTCAGTGCAATACTACAAATTATTAAAAAAACATAATTAGTAACATGACAAAACTCTTCGCGTGCAGGTCATATTTACTGACATAAAACTATCGTGCTTAAAAATTGTCACACTTATACAATACCTATGGTTCTGTCTTCTAAAACCACGGTGTACAATGGGTAACATTGGAAAGATTTTAAAATACAGCCATTAAAAACATCACAAATACATTTTCCTACATTAATACAAAAAACCTAATATATTCATAATTTTATAATTTTTTACTTTATAACATCATATATCTTAATAAAATAACAATATAACACGATACTCACTTTTAACATTTGCTCATAAAATCTTATATAAGTACAACTTTTAAAGAATGTGTATGTTCTACAATATAACGTTGCAGTAACTGCAATTATAATCGTTTTACAGATTAATTACATTTAGCATAGTAATAATAAAAACATTTTTTAAGAGAATACATCCACAATTTTACAATATACGGTAGAGCATCGATTATCCGACTCAATTGGGGACATGGGTTGGTCGGATAATTGAAAACTATGAAAAAATCCATTACTAGTGTAGTATATTATTATATCCCATGTAATTAGTATATTAGTATGTCACTATTAACCTACTTTGCATTGAATTTTCCTCCATGTTAAGCCAATCAAATTTTTTTAAAATAATAATCGTCGCTATTGTATCATTAAAAATTAGAAAATTAAACCTCGTTTAAATACTGGCTCCCTTTCATGGTCGATCCAGTGTTGCCAGCTAAAACACGTAAAAATAATATTAAAGTAGCCAAGACATAGCCAAATATTGTAGCGCCACACCACTAGCGGACATTTGAATTTGCCGACTAGAACGCGGTCGGTTAACCGAAGTGATGGTTAATCGGGGGTCGGATAATCGATGCTCTACTGTATTTCCAATTATTTGCTGTCACAACACTATGATAAATACATTACAATCAATTTTTTTCCATTAGTGCCACCTATTATATTATACCACTGTTGATCTATTTGCATACCATTTGATATATTGATTAAATTTTTGTTTACTGAATGAATACAAAGCAGGGATGGGTGGGTTAAATGGTTTTTCATTCATTATAACAGAGTTCATCAAAATTAGATATAAAAAATGACTTATAATGACTTTTTATATAAATCTATATAATATATAACTTATATTTATCTCTTTGATACTTGTGCTTAGAATTATACCTTCTGTAAAAAACTATAAATAGGGTAAAGACTTTTCATCGATCCATTTTTGTGAAAATGGTAAGAAAACCATTTGTTTGCAAGTTGTACGAAGCACGTTGACCCAAGAAAAGAGAATCGCTGTGGTTTGCACATATTTGAGTGGATTAACATACACGTTAGTACCATTCAATCCTTTTATTTCATAGCCTTCATGGTATTGTAACATATTGCTTGACAGGTGGCATAGTTCTTTTTCTCCTCCTCCAGCTTATGTAACACCTGATTGTTCTATGCATGCTTTTTTTGAGCTTGTAAAGAAGGAAACATTGTTGTGGCACAGTGAGCACCTGGCTTAGTCTTCTGGTTGATGACGTAAACTGTGTTGTTGCAGTTTCTACACATTGAATCATTTCATCCGGTATGGTGGGCATTCTGGAAAATTGTGCATCGTGTACATTATCCATTCATCTGAATTTGGGAACCAACAACCTTATATTGGATCTGGTAGCAGCAGAGTTCCTAAATTTCTGGTTGAAGTTTGTCTTTACTTCCGTGTAAGTTAATAAACTAAAACCTACACAAACAGCAGAAATTTTCTCTTTTTGGATCATGTTTTGCACAATCTGCATACAAATGATTTTATTACCATTTTCAAAAATGGATCAAGTTTTTTTTATAATCAATGGATTGAACGTCTTATTGTCATAATTTTTCTACCATATCATTTATTTAAGAATCACGTGACATTTGGTTCAGACTGGAAGTTTGTGTAAAGTTAATCGGGATCTCGGCCCCCTAAGCTTTCTGTATCTGGTCTCGATTTTCATCTATCTAACTCTGTTCTCGAGATTAACGAAAGACAGACAGTGGGAATTATATGTCTGCAACTTAAAAATTGCAGCCCAACAAGCAGCAACAAATTTCCCATCATACAAAATAATTGTTTCTGTTAGAATCAGTATTTTCTTTCATGCACACAATTTATTGTTATTTTTCTGATATACTGTACAGTAGATTGAAAATTAAATAAAGTAAAATTTTAAAGCATTTTTTTGTTATTTTTAATTAGTTGAATGAAACACTTGACCCGCACTTTGGAATTACTGAATATCCAATTAAATTTTGACCCACCTTCAGAGAAACATTTGCCATCGCTGGCCTATATTATTTATCCTTAGAAATGTGTAAAATACACAAATTATTATTAGTAATTTTAATTAACAAAAGTGCTTTCAGATGGTGTAAAGACAGAAATGCCATTTCCATAAAGCTTTCAAGATTTTTAAATGTAATTTTCTGTTTAGTTACAGTGACGGCGAAAAGGCTGCTTATTCTTTAATTAATATATTTACAGTAAATTCATCGTACGATTAGGCATTGATGAGCCTTTTTTTTTATTTTATTTAATACAGCTTCAAAACCAGTGGAGAGCAAACAGTCCTTCTACCACCACAAATTATTCATCCCAATATTCAACATCCTGTCCTTCGCCAAATACTTCATCCCCTACCTCACAGACATATCAGAACCCCTCTCAGAATCCAGTGGGACATCATCATCACAACGCCATGAGGGCCCAGGGTGGCTCCACTCCGCAGGTCGGCAGTTATGGTCAGACAGTGCATAACATTTCTCAGCAGTTGACACCCGCTCACAATGTGTCTCATAAGACTGTAGATTCCCATAATTATTCTCAGCAGTCGTCTATCATACCCAACCGTCACACCATGAACTCCGTTTGGCAACAGAATCCCAGTCGAACTCCTTCAAATAACCAATCGTTTCCTAACAGTGCCATTGTGGGACCACAGGGAAGTGAATATCCTGGTCAAAGTAAGTCATTCTGCCATTCTAATTAGCAGTAGCGAGCCAACCTAATTATTACAATTAAATATATATTTTAACTCTAGAGAAAGTGGATACATTTCAGTATGCATCAAACGGTGCACGAGCCAATCTTACTGATGCACATATTGCACTGGTGAGCAGGGGTCACGGGTTATATTTTTAACACTCATCTGTATTAACCAGAAGTTAATTTGACAGGATAAGTCTGCAAATGCCAATATGGTGCCATTTGCTCCTGCCATCTTGCCAAGTTGCCAGAGGTTCTGATAAAAAGCTGATTAATGGTTGTGGCTGAGACAGATGCATACTGGAATGTACCCATTAAACTTGCACTTTCCAAAAGGAAGTGGTAATGTAATGTCGTGTAAAATATATCTTGGTAGTATTGAGATAAACAATTGCATGCAGAAGTCTCATTCGGTAATGTAAATGATGACATTTTACGAAATTCGGAGGACATGTCTATAAAATTTAAAATTGCTAATTCTCATAGCAGAAGTGTAAGGATTTAAATACGACAGTTGAAGAAAATATCATCTTGCTTCTAATGTAACAAAGAAATGCACTCGTTAATTGAACTTCATAAAATTTTCAGAAGTTGAAAACAGGCCACAAAAAAAAATGTAAATTACAAACAGCAACACGAGTGATTTACAATAGATAATTTCAATTTTTATTTGGTAAAATTTGAGTTTTTTACATTTAATTTTACATTATTATTATTTCTATTTTAAATGATTTCTCCAATGCGGTTCTTTAATATAAAATACCTGATGAATTTATTTTTACTTTTTAAAATATATAATTTACGGGTTACCTAATGGCCTAATGCAACTTATAGTTTGAATAATTGATTTTTTGCATGCTGGCTAATGACTTGCATGTGTATAGAAAATTATTAATTTATTTATGTTTAGTTTGTGTCATTTGTTATCATGCATACTATCCCCCAATTCATTTCTAGGCGTATTGGGACACCATGCCGAAAACAGTTTCACCACAGTCCCTCAACAACTCTTAACACCCTTCCACAGTTTTCCGCTCTCCTCTCACTCAGGTAGGCTTGGAGAAGAATTCTATGGGAACTTGTTAATTGCCTCTACTGCATATTAATCTATCTAATTGTATTAACACATGGCCGGCAGAAAACTAAAATGCTTTATTCTGCGGCAGAAAACTTGCCTAACGTTCTCTCTACCGTTTCCCGCTCTTCGTTCTTTATCAATTCTACTTCGTTCTGCTTATTTCTAAAATGTTTCAGTGTCCCGAAAAAAGTTTAAGGTTGCCATTCTCCAACCTGAAATTATCATTTTTCTTGCATAAATTCAGAATGGGGGAATTCCTAAAAAGTTAAAATTTCTTCTGTTTGGAAATTGTGGTTTTTCACTTAACCTGAAATGTACTCTCTTTGTACAAAATTCCGCAGGTTAGACTTCATTTTGTGGTGGAAATCGTACAGAAATTTTTTGTTTGCACAATTTTTTTTATCTGAAAATTTTCCCGGTGAAAAAATTCGTGCAAAAAATCAAAAGTAAACACTAAACTGGTGATGATGTTTTAAGTTTAAAAGATTTCTATCTTCCATAAAAATGATTTCCAAAAGTTATGGGAGGCGTACACACAGCATTACACTGAGAAGTCTAAATTCATTCTCGTAAAGCATCTTCTCTTAAGATATTCTAGAATGGAATTTGGTCTTCGGGACTTTTTGTAGAATCCTTAAACTGTTTTTTGGGACACTCCACGCGAATGATATTTACAGGAGCCTGGTCCTGGATTACTAAATGGCCTCTTTCCCGTTTTATAGGGTCAACGCAGCAGACGTCGCATCACAGGATTCCCTGACAAAGGCATCCGTTAGGCAAACCCGAAAATGTACAGAAGCGGTGACTCTTTATAGAATTTAAGTTTAAAGAATCTCCACCGAGTTAAAAAAAAATTGTAATAAAGCAGCTAAATATCTCAGGAGATGATAGGAGATGTATTGTATATATGATACATATGTCCATGTATAGTAAATGTCATTTGTATATTCAGTGTTTCTTGAAATGACGAGACTAACGAATGGCGTAAATGTTGCCAATTATATCATCGTCGCGTTCTCAGCAATGGCAACAACGATCGTTCGATTAACATTCTTTCCAATTTTTTATGCGCGTGCGACTGCTGCGGTGCCGTCGGGATCCTCTAATTTGCATACACGTCATCGTCTCGCGTGCATAAAATAAAAATTTTAAAGTTTGGGTACTTCCGCACTTAACCGGGTACATTTTTAAGTGGCAAGAGAACCGACAAAGAGGTCTTGTTTTGCAGCAAACAGCCTGTTTCGTCGCCCTTCCAGAGTCACTTAAATGGCACCCTAGGCATCGAGCGTCATTAATTATTTAGAATTTGTTGTAAAAGCTTTCAAACTGCAGGTTTAATCGATTCATTCGTTACACCAGGGGATGTTCAATTCTGACGGTTCCGATCTGCAGGCGCACCGTTTAAAAATAGCTGTAAGAAAAAAAGGAAAAGAAATCCTACTCTAAACCGTATGTCCAGAGTGTTAAACACTATGCATCGTAGGATTTTCTACCGAGAATTTTTGCATACTTGAACTGCCGTACATACTGTGAAAACAGCCTTTTTTCCATTAAAGTATTCAATGGGTGATATATATTAGAGAAAAAAAAATTTAAATATTATTATTATTAATTTTTTTCTTCTCTCCCTCTCTTTTTTTGTTGTTATTATTATTGTTATTTAAAAAATAATTACATTTTTTTTACTTTGTAAAAAAAATAAGAAAGAGAAAAAAATTTAGCCGTAATTTTCTCGAATAGGGGAATAAAAAATAAATATGATTTCCAATTTGCTCCTCCGCAGAGCAGAAACTCTAAATGAATTTCAATTTTGCCACTAGGGGGGAAAAAAAACTGAAAATTTGTGATGACGCATCCTACCTCACAGTTTTAATACTTCCGGTTTTTGTCTTTATTATGTTCGAGCTTTGTGATAAAGACAAACACGTCCTCGGTGTCGGAGACGCGAGGAGGAGAAAACCAATCTAATTTACCGTGTCCGTGCGTGTGTCGGTGTGACAAGTTGTTCGATTAACTGTATACTATGACTCGTGCCAGTAGCTGTATTATATAATTGTTGATTTGAATTTGAATTAAATATTTGTATCAGTTGAGGGAACAAGACTTTTTTGATATTTATTTCTACACACGATAACGTAATAATAATAACGAAATAGTCAATCGCCCACACACGTTTTTTAGTCATTAGAGACAGTTTATATATATACACACGCCGGGGGAGGTGTCGATTATTCTCGGTGAGGAAGAGGATGAAAGAGAGAACATGACAGTGATAAAGTGTACAGAAATCGTGTGACGAGGGAATGAGACGCGGCTTGAGCAGGACGGTATTTGTTTAAAAAAAAAAGTGATGGTGGAGTGCCTTGTTATATCCAACAGAATGTGATTGGTATTGGGTCGAACATTTAAACGAAAATAAAATAGCTCTGATCCTCTTTGTAGTTCAAATGTGTGTAAAAACGAGTCGGATTTTCGTAGGAATTACCAAAATTTAGAAGGTACCAGTCCTTTTCTTAAGTATTGTTTTCCAAATTAATCCCGGAGACTTTACAAAAGTCCTTCGCCACACACACAAAAACAAAAGTGTTGTTGTTTTGTTTTTTTTTTCCAAAAAAAAAGCATCTTAGATGATTTCCCTCCTCCCCATCTCTCTTGCATACAGTACACAAGAAAATTCTCCCGTTGTACAGGAGTCGTGCATTGGAATTGTAAAAAAATGATACTAATACTATAAATGTTTTTTGTAGATTGTTTTGTAAAACTGCAAATACTTGGTTGGAATCAAATTGTGTAAATGTGTACATTATTATTATTATTATTATTATTATAATTATTAATTAATGAATTATTTTTCTGTTCGTTATTTGTACAAAACGTTGATTATTATTATTTTTTTTATTTTGGATTGTGTTTTATATAGTTCAATTGTGTACACGATTGTGGATATTTTTCCTACCAAAAATGGTAATTCATTGTAGAGAAATGATCTCACTATTTAATTCTTATCCGAAAAAAGAGGGACGAGTTTTTTTAGATAAAACAATTTCCTGTTTTTTGATATGCAAGATGACGATGAAATCTGATTGTATCACCGTTTGATAAAAAAAATTATATATATAAATATATATAAAAAGATGGCCACAGTCGGACATTTTTCCTAGTAAAATAGCCTTGCTTGTCCTGAATGTTTGTCACCAAGATTTGTGCAACAATGGTTTTCTAAGTAAAATAAAGTGAGCAGACAGTATATATATATATACATCCTTTCTTTCTGTTTCTCTGTTTTTACGTTTCTAGATTTTAAAGTGGTTCGAGTTTTCAAATTATAATTTAATTTAATAAAGTATAATTTGTAACATCAAATTACGGACTGGATTTGGTTAGAATCCCAATTAACCGAGGTAAATCTGCGAGGGAATAACTACTTTCTTCTGTAATTCATAAAAAAGGGCTTAAAACCGTAACTTGTTACGGTTTTAAGCTATTTTGAAATGATTTCACTTTTATTAAATGATAAAATGTAACTTATTGAACAAATCTTATATTAGTATTAAAAATAACTATACAATAATTAGGTATTGACTACTTTAATCATAGTGAATTTAATAAATGTTCTTTTATAAGGTTTATAAAAAGAGGGTTAAAAATGATGATATATAAGTCTTTGTAACTTTTTAATCTGGAGTGGCCATCTGTCGGTGCGCTTTACCTCGGATAATTGGGATTCTACTGTTCATATATAAAACTTACTTTAAAGCCGTCGGCAACATTTTTCCCCCACGGAAAAGTGGCGGCATCGGGAATTTATGAATATTCTTATATGGGGAAGGTCCGTCATTAAATGTAAATATAGTATTTACTCAAGAATGCTTAAGAATTGCCGGTACATATAATTCATATTATAGATTTTGTATTCTATGCGGGCATTCTTCCAATTAAATTTGTGATGTAAAATACGGAAGTTTAAAATTCAGAGACTATTTTTATTTTTTATTTGGATTATTTCTTGGCAAATTTTTAAAGTTTAAATGCAATATTCATTATTATTGAGGCGATGTAATAATTTCACGTGCATTTTTAATTTAAATATCTTTAATTACGAGAAAATTACAATTTATTTGGCCAATAATCGCAATTTCTGTTGCCAAATCCGTCACGGTAAAAATTATGGGGATGGTTTTGGGCATCACGTAGCGTTTAATGTAAGTATCGGCGTTTTGACTTCATTATAATATAATGAAAAGGATCGCAGGGGGAATTTTCTGCGCGATTTCTCCCGGTTTCGGCAGAATTAGTCGGGTGGCCGGAAAAGAAGGAGAGCAGAGACGATTCCACAGATAAACAAACATTTAATGGTTGTCGTCTAATTCGATCTTCCGACACAAAAGATGACTCAGGACATTTATTTGTTTGACAAAGAAGAATGCCATTGGCAGTCGCCGTTCTTACAATAAAAGATACGAAAACATGGACTGAAATCTCATTTCTTTTTAATTACAGATGATGCCAGTCTTTGTATTATTGTTGCTTTTGTCTTTTACAATTTAGTAAAACCTGGCAGATATTAACGCTGCTGGCGACATAAGTAATGACAGCCACCCAATAGTTGCTAAAAATGCATTTACGAATGCACTTGTCCTGTTACCATTTGGACTGGCATATTGGAACACCAAGTGAGTGTGACTACGAAACGATTACGAACGATGAACAACTTCTTTACACAAAACACAATTTACAATCATGTATTAATAAAAACCGCGTAGACGACGACCATTCCTTACACCACTACTTCGGTTTCTTCGGTCGGATGCTTCTCTTCTCGTCAGCAATTTGTACACCAGTTTCCTATGACGAAACAAAACCATTTTATTATTAGGTAATGGAAAATTCCAGCTACTTCCAGGCCATATGAATGACAATCCAAAAATATTCAGATTGTTTCTACTTCCCAGTTTTTCCAACAACCTCGTAAGTAACCAGTTAGCTTATTAAAAAACTTTTTATATTTTTAACTATTATAAAATGGCAAAAAGATTAATTTTGAGGGTAGGGATGGGTTTCATAAAAAAAATTGTTAATGCTAATAATGAGTAAATCATCTTTACGTCCGACCTTACTCGAGATACAACACGCGATCCCCTCTATCTCCCCACCTGGTCAACCTTTAATCACTGAAATTTAATAGCATCGATCCCCTAGTACACAAACTTCCCTGCAAAATTTCAGAAATTTTTAACAAAGTACAGAAGTTATAAGCTTCAAAGAGGGTGAACAAAATTGTGCACCCCACATTCACTAACATCCATACGTACAGGAAAACCCAAATTTTTTCACATTCGACATTTTGAGGTCCCAAATAAAAAAATTTAAAAAACACGGGGGTCAATTTTTGACCGATTGCCATACTTTCCCTCTGTTATATGTAACAGAGTCAGAAAAGTGAAAAGAGACTGTGTTATTTGCATAGTAAAAAGAGAAAGTGGGTTCGGCTTCTTTGCCACAACGAGCAGATCCAGTTGAAGAGGTTTGTGTGTGGAAAAATCATTGAAAACGTACCCAATCTGATTATCTATTATGGTGAATAATTGGATCATCTCACCAAAAACAGGATTTGGGCCAGACGATTTTGGGAAGTGTTAACCATGTGGGAGATTTTCCAGTAAAGTCTGATTTGAAAATTAGAATTTACATTGAACTGATTATATTATCCTGGCAGTTTCTGTGCAATAACACTTTTTACATAGTGCATAAGAAGTGTTACTGTTCCGCTTGGTCTTTCCTACTATCAATAAAAGTACAAAAAATGCAACGACTAAACAAGTGAATGATACCGCAAGAAAAAACTGCTGGGCAGGGAAGAAAAGATTGAAAAACATCATATTA